CCCCCGCGCGGCCGACAGAACAAGAGGAATGGGGCGCACGGCGCGACGGTACTATCGCCTTTGAAAGCCCGTGAAAACTGAGAGAGGTCATCGCCGCGTCCCTCGTGGCAAATTGGACGTAGGACACACGGCGGTGAGAGCACGGCCAGGGCCATTAGAATGCGGCCTGTGACCCCGGGGAGAGGAGGAGAGGGAGGGGGGCAGAGCGCCTTGCGGAGGCACGTCCTCCGAACGTGCCATGTCTCATGATTTTTACGCCCATTCGGGGCAGTAATTTATTCAGGAGGCGTTGTGAGATGCCTTAAATCCATAACTGGGTGCGAACGTACGACGAAACACACACACAAACATATACACCACAGCACTCTAAATCCATCGCCTACTTCTTGCGCCCTATGACGCGCCTGATTAGCGACCCCGCGATTCGTTTCCCACGACCTTCCTACCTTCCGCCGGCCCGTTCCGCCGTATTTCATTTATATTTCAGGCGAATGAAATTCAATAACATATCGCGTAAGTTTGATGCCGAGGAGCTGAATTCCAATCGGAAACCTATCAATCGCAAGCACGCCCTGCCGGCCCTGCCTCGCCGCCGCGGCGCGCCGTGCCAGCTACAGTACAAGCAGGCCAGGCCGGCCGGGCCGCAGCAGCAGCAGGCCAGGGGCCCAACAGAAACAGCTTGTCTGCGCTTGTTTGGGTGCGTGTATGAAACAGTGCACTCGCTGCCTTATACGCAACGATGAATAATGCAAGAGAAAGACAGGGCGGCGGTGCCGGCAGCGCGAGAGAGACAGCAGAGTTTCTCTATTTCAAACTGACCGCGCAGCGCGCAGCAGCGTGCAGCACCAGCCGCCCGGCTACTCCATACGTATAAGTGCATTTATTTGCCATTTGTATAAACATGTCAACACGGTGCGAGGTTTTTTTAAAGTTATTTTTTTTTCTTTTTTTGGTTTGAGCGCAAAGACTGGGCAGAGCGAGCACTTTGTGCTGCAGGATCGCAGTGGAATTAACGAAGATATGAAAAACATTCTCACCGGCATTCGTCATGGTGCAGCTCTGGGGCCCAACCGTCCCGCACCACGCAACGCAGCGCCCGTCTTTAAACATTCAATTCAGTGCGAAACATGACACCCCACGCCTCGCCTCAGCTCGCCTCGGCAAAAAGCACGCCATAAATAAATAAACGCAAAGGCAATGACGATAAAATCCCAATTAAACCCGGAGCCGGACCCTCACACCCGCACACCATCGCCACTTCCATGGTTTCCCAGGCCACGGCGATCCCTCCCTCTCTCGCTTCCCCCGCGTCCACGCACACAGTCCGCTTGTTGCCGGCTAAGCCAAAAGTCCTCGGACCGCGCCCGGCAGCCGCCGAGCAGAGCCCGGCAGAGCCCTGGAGACACTCGATACTCCGGGTGTTGAGTTTCGAGGCGTGGCGCGGCGCGGCGGCGTTGGGGCCGATGGCCGTGCGTTAAGTTTAGTTAAACCCAGATGGTCAACTGGTTCGGTGGTGCTGCCAACGGTATCGGGTGTCCCCCTGCACGCCCTGCAGCCCCTGCAGCCGCACTGCAACAGCCTAATCCGTTAGCAGCGGGGCTTTAGCAAAACAGTAATAGTGGCAGTCGCCGGCCGCCCGGGCCTCCTGATGGAGTAATTTTCGTTGCGGGGATAAAAAGCATCGAATTAGCCCGGTTTCCCTGAAAATGTGCGCACGGGAGGGCGGCAGGGGCGGGAGCAGAGCGAAGGGCAAGGGGGGAGGGACACCCGCAGACTTTATGGCCGCTTAGCATGCTAAACTAACCGGGAGCGCATTCAAGTCTCCGCCACATTACAAGGGATGCCACTGATGCCACTCGGGGGCCGCCGGGCCGCGCCACGCCGCGCCTCTCGGCCGGTAGAGAGCCGCGCGCATTTTGCCGCGACAATCGCTGCGCAAAATAATAATCATCTCGCGACAAACCGCATTGGATTCGCGCGACGCCAATTTACTGCCCGCCGTCGTAAAGTGCACACGAGGCGGCGGCGGCGGAGAGGAGCATGCGGAGCTCGCGGGGCAAGCGCGCGAGGAGGACGCAGAGTTTGTTGGCGACTGGGCAATCATTTTACGGGTGTTTCAGGCCCCGCGAACACAATCGCACGCCAAACACAACACTTGCAGACAAAAGCTCCTCGCGGCCCACACGCACGCCCAGCAGAGTCACAAAAACGAGACGCAGAGAGAGACACACACTCACGTCCCTCGATGCGGGCCCGGGCCCGGGCGGGCGAGCGGCAAAAGGCCGAATAGTGATACACACACACACACACACATACAGCAACACCCGGGGCGGCGCGGTTTCCCCCTCACCAGCGCGACGACCTGAATTTGTAACGACACGAGACGCGGCGTAAAGACACACCGCCCAATCACAACCCCCTGGCGGGGCGATAAGGGAGCGCAGTGGAACACTGATCCACCCCATTGCAGCCGCGGCCAGAGGGAAAACTTTGGCGATCACCGAAAAATTTGAAGCGGACCACGAGCAGCACCCAGCACCGCGCCGACGGGATCCGGAGGAGTTTGCACTGTCTGTCGTCGCGGCCCGACCCCCGACACGCACATTCCATTTCACGCACCCCATTCGAAACACACGAATCTTTTGAAAAGGTGAGCAGAGGTTCGATGCACTTCCTTCGGACGCGTTGTGTTCCCCAATTTTTCAGGTTCCCATACATGACTTGGAAATAATAATAATAATCAAATCCACGATCCGTTTTCTTCCCGGGCGGGCGCGCGCGGACGCACGTGAAACTGTCGCGCCTCGCCGCCGGCCGGCCGGCACTTGTCCCCCCGGCGGCCAGGGTCAGCCGCGCAGATCGCATACCTTGATCAAGGCAAAAATTACCTTCCTCGCCTCCTCGGCACGGCTGGCTCGGCCGGCTCTGACTGCACGGTCGCCGCCGCCAGCTCGCGTGCAGCCACGGCGGGGGGCTCCGGGCGCGCGAGCGGAGCGGCGCAGCGCAGGATAACGAGGAATGTCCAGCGACACAAGCGCAGGCCAAAAGTGCGGCCGGGGAAAAAATTAAAACCCATCGAAACGGCACGCAGAGCGTCGCCGACATCGGGGTGGAGCCGCTCGAGCGAGAGGAGGACCCACCGGGTGCGCAACACCGAAATAAAAACTCGGGGAGAAGCCTGGGAGCGCGGCGCGCAGAGGTTAGCGTGACGGGGCCGGAGCGCGACTCTCATCAAACTGGTATTTACGCAAATGCGTAGAGCGCGCTATTTTGTTTTTGTATTCGCCATGTCTTTTTATTCAGCTTGGCCCGCGTGTAAGCGGCGAGCCGTACAACGGCTGCAGCCCCCGATTCTGCGTCTATTCGCGTTTTACCGCTCATTTGCGTCTTCCCGACACTTGGCGAGCACCTCCTTTAATTTGAGAATGGCGGATCACACGGCGCGCGTGAGGCGAAAATGCAGGCACATCAGCCGCACGGCGCAACACCGCAATTTTCAAAACTTTCCCGCGCATTTAAAATGTTTCGCATGTCCCAATGTTCCGCGCGCGCGCACTCCACAGCGCCGCTGCCGCACTCACAGGTCGTCGCACTATTTTCACCATTTTCATTTCGGCACACGCACAGCCGCACACGCAAAGCACTAACTTCACTGTCTTCACAGTCCGAGGGAAATTAACAGGAATAAAATCCAAGTGCGGAGGACGGTGAGTGCGGCGAGGCGACGATGTTGGCGGCGGCGGCGGCGGTGAGCTGCCTCCCCGGGCCGTCCGGGACGGCGTCGACGGCGGTTTGTCTGTCTGTTGAATTATTCCCGGTCTCTCGTTGACATTGTCGTCACATAGGGTGTCCCAATGTATTCACCGTAGCTCGCTTAGTGGCTCAAATACATATTCATGGCGATTAGAGCGCAACATACGAGGGCCGCGGCGCCGAATACCAATGTCGCACCGCCCAGCTGATCCGCTCCCGCCAAAAGAAGGCTCGCGTCGCGGAAGGTCCCAACGCGTTGCGTTCCGTTCTGTTCCGTTCCACCCCGGCCCGCTTCCTAGCTCTGCCATACGCCCGCTGCGCTCCAGCCATTCATCTAGTCCCTGATTGATGGTGACACTAGCAAAACAAAACCCGGCGCGGCCCGCCCGGCGTCATGAGAATGTGTGCGGCCTAGCGCGGCCGGCAGCGCGGCCCTGGAGGCCGTGGAGGCCGCCGCGGAGGCGACAGTGCGCACGGCTCGGGACATGTTCCCGGCGACCGCCGCCGCTGCAGGCAGCGCAGCGCAACCGGTCGCTCGAACCTCACATGGCTCTTCTTTTTCATCCCGAGGCCTAGCAAAAGCCTCAGCGCGCTGCCCTGCCCGCCCAGCCTCACCCGGCCTCGCCCCCGGGGGCTGAGGAGGGACGCACAATAGGAAGGTATGGCACGGCTCGGCTCCGCTCCCCGGGACTTTGCCCTGCCCCGACCCGGCCCGGCTCGACTCGTCACGAATCGCCTCTACCTGCCCAGAACGCAGGCCTTTTCGACGACCTATACATGCACCCCTTGATTGTTCCCTCTTCGCTGGAATCCAACGGGACGACACGACCAAAGCGCTAAGAATCTCAAACTGATTTTCCCCGACCCGAAGATGTCCCACATAAGGCTATAATTCACTTGGCTCCTACAGTCCCATGACAAGCCACCCCACAAGCCGTTCAACTGTCTATCCCATCTGATTTCCTCCCCACCCCCCTCCCCCCACTCTCTCCCAGATATATTACTATCCCGTATCAAGACTATTCCCAGGAAAATCATATGAAATTTCCCCTGTTCCCATCAAAAATACCCACGTCTCCCTTTTAGACCCATTGCCACACACACAGTGAGCAAGGTGTCATGAGTGTCAAGTCAGTAGTCATGTCAGTCGCGCACAGTGGGTGGTAGCTGTGCAACGCGGGTCGCCTATCCACCTTGACAACCCGCGAGCTCGCATGTCCAGTAAGGACACTCACCCTTGGCTGTGCCATGTGATTTTTTGATCCAGCCGCGGAAAACTCCGCGTGCTGGGACACCGCGCCGCAAGAGATTTTCAAAGACTAAGCCCGAAGGCCGCCTGGGGTCGAAATCCTGTGCCCTCGGATGAGGAGCACTGCCGCGATGAGGAGGGTGTTGGCGGTGGCGGTGCGGCTTGTAGCCAGGCACTACCACTCCACTGACACCTCACTGAATAGGCTTGACATGGTGCTTGGCACCCACTGCACACTCTTTCTTGAACTAAACACTGAAGCACAGCCTTGACGTTTCACTATAAACTTGATTGCACATGTAGTAGGAACGATTATAAATATTTTGCCGGTGACAACACTCAAATCTTCTTCAAATCACTGCACTGTCACCATCACAACATAAACTAGCACTAGTCACAGCACACAGATATTTGGTCGAGGAGCGGTGTGTTCCTCTTCCGGACGCGACGTTAAATCCCAAGTGGCACAAGAGGACAGACGACAATTTGGAAGTGATTGTTGTAACAAAATAAACACACACACGCGGAATGCCAGCGGCGCACTCACAGTGCCGCAAACGCCCGGGCGTCTGCCGGCGACTCGCGAAACTTTTTCCGACACAGCAAACGCACTGTGAGGGGCGGCAGGGCCCCTGGGGGTGGACCGGCGCGCTGCCCCGTGGTGCGAATCGAGCGAGCGGGCCGAGCGGGCAAGCGAGCAGGGCGAGGCAGCGAGCGTCCGGACCGATCCAGGACCGACCCTGCGTGCGCCGCAGTTGTCTACCAACTGTCAATCACCGGCCGGCTGGCGCAGCCGGCGGAGGGGTGGGGGAAGCCCGGCGAGACGAGGCAGCGCGGGGCG